ATCTGGTAACACCTGGTTGAAACTGACTCACCACTGTAAGTATGACAAGCACAGTATCTGGTAACACCTGTTGAAACTAACTCACCTCTGTAAGTATGACAAGCACATTATCTGGTAACACCTGTTGAAACTAACTCACCTCTGTAAGTATGACAAGCACAGTATCTGGTAACACCTGGTTGAAACTAACTCACCTCTGTAAGTATGACAAGCACAGTATCTGGTAACACCTGGTTGAAACTAACTCACCTTGTAAGTATGACAAGCACAGTATCTGGTAACACCTGGTTGAAACTAACTCACCTCTGTAAGTATGACAAGCACAGTATCTGGTAACACCTGGTTGAAACTAACTCACCTCAGTAAGTATGACAAGCACAGTATCTTGTAACACCTGGATGAAACTGACTCACCTCTGTAAGTATGACAAGCACAGTATCTGGTAACACCTGGTTGAAACTAACTCACCTCTGTAAGTATGACAAGCACAGTATCTGGTAACACCTGGTTGAAACTAACTCACCTCTGTAAGTATGACAAGCACAGTATCTGGTAACACCTGGATGAAACTGACTCACCTCAGTAAGTATGACAAGCACAGTATCTTGTAACACCTGGATGAAACTGACTCACCTCTGTAAGTATGACAAGCACAGTATCTGGTAACACCTGGATGACATGCAGTTCATGAGGTTTATGTGATGATGGTATAGACTTTAGAAACACTGGTAACCGTTGTGAAGGCAATGATTTGTCAGTCACACTGACCATACTGGAGTCAAGTACATGAAAATTACCAAATGATTCATCTTGGTATGACATAGTTGATCGCTCAAGAAAAGAAAGTTCATCCTGTGAAAGAAAGAAAAAAACTTATTAAAGTAATTTTAAATTATTAAATTTTTACAGAGGAATTCATTCCGTATAATCACACAATTATGGAATATCGCTATGGTTACATGGACAGAGATTAAAGGGTGGTAGTCGGCGCACTGCGCATATGCGACATTTGTGTTGGTAAACATTAATTTTACCATAATCCAATGCGCTTTTCCACTGAAATCCCGAGTACAATTTTTGCCCTTGGCGCCATTTGCACTAATTACTACCGACAACTTCTTAGATACCTTCCAAACACAAAAAATACCTAATGAAAAGCTTTGGTAACCTCTCAGTTTGTATTAGTTGGTGTGCGTAACAGTCAAAATCACCATCTTTGTTTATATGAGACCCATATTGCGATGACTACCACCCTTTAAATCACTAATTCAAGCAACAACCCTGTAGAGGTACCCTTATTCACATCCAATTCCCCAAAAATTTGATGAGCAGACACACACAAATTAGGAAATTATGTCTAAGTGTACATTTCACTCTGGGATTCGCAGAGACTTTTGTGATACATCATCCGTTCAACTCACAAATTTGAAATTTAACAGTTTAATGGTTTATGTAATATAGATTGATAATGTAAGTTCATCATTTGTAAATTAATCAGATCTCGGGTAAATCCCTTCCACAGTTAACAGACATTCATAAGAGAATGAGACAGTAGCATTTGACATATTAGTCCCAAAAGACCCTAATAAAGCTCTATAAATAATCTCAGAATGCAACTTTAAGTAGCATATGAGGATCCAAGCAAATAAGTGTACATTACCTCACTTGTTGTTTGCTGCCCTCTAGTGGTAGCTTCAGATAAGGCCAATTTTAATCTTTGTATGTAAGGACTAGGTGATACACCCAGTGGCGCCGATAGACTTTCACCTTGGGATGTGATAGGAGATAACATACTCCCATGATGCAACTCTGCATCGACCTCAATGCTGGTCTTAGCATGTATTACTGATATTTCTGGAGTACTTGTGTGCTGTGTTGGAGAGGATGATGGAGAGCGCCCTCTAGGTGGTGGTGTTGAAAGACTACTGCGAAACATTGCTGATGCCTCCTGGGTAAAAAAAAAAAAAAAATTGTAATGACATGTTAGCTGTGAGATTTAAAATAACAAGCAGGGTCACAAAACCATACTTTATTACACCTACACCATCTGAGAATGCTATTGCACTTAAAAAAACATGCATGATACAATGTTCATGTAAAAAAATATAACTGGGTTGTATTTGAGGACTCAAATGTGATGTGATAGACATGTTATTATAAGTTATTACCAGTCAAGCTAAGAATAAGCTCAAACAATCTTGCAGATTTGTGAATGGCTATATACATTGTACAAGATCTGGAACAAATCTGGAATCTTAAAAATAGTAAAATTTTCATAATTTTTTTTTTAATCTGTGGTTCTACCAGTATTAAAAACGTCTTCAAAATCAGTTGAGAAACAAATCAAGCAAACCTAACATTGATTGGCTGAAGATTATACTATTTTAAAGACCATAAAGCCCCAATTTGCAGCTCAAGCGCTAATTGGAGATGTGGCTATACATTCTCCGTCGCAGAGACTATGGGTCTTTTATCACTAAGCTAGGTAGTCGCCAGGGAACATCCCACTAGTCTCTGCCACAGGCTAATTTGAATATTAATGACCGGACCTACATTTTGCTTTGCCATGAGTGCGTTCGCGTCGCTCCGTGAGGGTGCCCCAAACGACGTGGCAGAAAGTAGATGTATTGGTCTGTTGCTATGCAAGCGAAAATCGTATAAAATGTATAAAATTTATTTTGAAATCACGCCCACTGGCATTTTATGTTTTAGAAAATTACCTAAACACGTTTGTACTTATCGATTTCCTAGTTCGCTATCTCTTTTCTAACATCGCCCAGTTGTGACGTCATATAGCAGGCGAACGAAAACTGGGCAGGCGCGAGGTGCCCGCGTCACCCCGAGGCAATGACGCGAATGCACAGACGATTTGAACTGACGATTCACATCTACGTCTCCTACCGCACAATCTACTTTTTCATTATTTTAACATTTTGAAAAGATTTTAGCACTGAATGTAAAAATATTTGACATATTTATTTTAAATAACACACATTTTTTTCAACAGAAGCTTAGGATATCAGAAACAAATGAATTATAAAAACGCGGAATACCAATAATTTTGATGTAAAATGTCGCCTGTGGCAGAGTCTAGTTGCAGCTCTCTGTGGCTCCCCTAGGTCAAGAAGACTCTGCAAGGGAGAGTGGTGGCTATACTAATGATGTTAATCACTTACATGGCCTATGTTTACAGAAACTCATATTTTTTTAAAAAGCATATAGCACCAATGTATAAGGGCCAGTCAGACTTGCTCAAATAGGCATTCCGTAATGACAAAATTAATAACGAATGCAAGACACAGTCTAAACAAAATCTCATACTTCAGACTTTTTGAGGCATTAAAAAATAGCAAAGCTGGATATGTCCTATTTGAAGTACCTACAGGCATTCTCAATTGTTAAGTTAAAATGAATTTGATAGAAAACTCACACTCTCTTCATCATTTGCTTCAGTCTCTGGATCAATCACTTCTGATTCAGGCTCCATGACATCAGCATCACCCTCCAAGTCCTCGCTTGGTAGTACATACTCATCAGGCTGAACAGAAGCGCCTTCTGTTGCTGGTTTTTGTTTTTCCTTCCTGGGCTGCGTAGCCAGCAACTCATTAATTGTTTGTGTTGATGGATACATGTCTTGCACAACCAACATAATCAGTAGTAGGTCAGATGATTGCAATTCACTGGCATTTTTACTATCAGGAAATGAACATAAATGGGTGACTAAAATGTTAGGATAGCAACATAATTTATTGTTTAAGTAATTCAAGCTAAAATCAAATGTTGCCCTACTAAGCATGCCACTGCCTGTATGTGCAATGCATTATGGGATAGAACGTCAATTATTGCAGTATGTGCAATGTATTATAGGATAGAAAGTCAATTTTTGCAATAGGTACAATGCATTGTGGGATAGATAGTCAATTAATGCAGTATGTGCAATACATTATGAGATAGAAACTCAATTATTGCAGTAGGTACAATGCATAGTGGGATAGAAACTCAATTCTCAAACTTCAATTTTCAATTGTGTAAACTTGTCATTGTATTTGACAACTACTATCACACTAAAAACTCAACAATATTATATTCATATCAATAATAATATACAACTTTTTTATTCAATGTCACAGAGTCAAATTTTAACCTTTTCACCACCAGACTTTTGTCCAAATTTTTCTGCACTTGTTTCTTAAGTTCTTCAATATTTCTGGAAATGAACCCAATTTTGGAGCCAACAAACTAAATCTGTGTCAATTTTTAGATTTTACTCAAAACAATCCCAATCTTCTGAAGGAAAGTGGAGCCTATAAACTGGACTATTTTGTGAATTTGTGATGAAAAGAGGGAACTTGTGGTGAAAAGCTTAAAACATGAAAAAATAGCTTCACCATAGACACCTATGTAAAAATACACATTGCTGCCTTAATGACATTTTGGACTCTCTTTTTTGAAAAAAACTATTTTCCATTTTTAACATGCATACACAGTGTACAAGTCCTTTTGTTGCAGCTTTGAACAAAGAGACACAAATCATTTATAAACATATCTGTCATTCATTAATTACTGATTTGTATGAATCAAACAACCTCATGCATATTCATGAGATGATATAAATCAAACTACCTCATGCATATTCATGAAATGATATAAATCAAACAACCTCATGCATATTCATGAAATGATATAAATCAAACATATCATGCATATTCATGAGATGATATAAATCATGCATATGGCATTATGAATCAAACAACCCTAAACATATCCATGAGTAGATATGAACCAAACAACCTCATGCATATTCATGTAATTATATAAATCCAACAACCTCGTGCATATTCATGAAATGATATAAATCAAACAACCTCATGCATATTCATGAAATGATATAAATCTAACAACCTCATGCATATTCATGAAATCATATAAATCTAACAACCTCATGCATATTCATGAGATAATACAAATCAAACAACCTCATGCATATTCATGAAATGATATAAATCTAACAACCTCATGCATATTTATGTGATGATATGAATCAAACAACAACATATCTCAAACTCTTACTAAATTGATTGTCTAACACTAGAGGCCGCTATTGATTCTTACCTTGAATAAAGAGCCAGGAGTTTTGATTTCACTGTCAACAGAGCATGAGCGGGATTTCTTTCTCCGGTGCTTTTCATCTTAGTTAAACTGTTTTCTAATAAGTTAATACATAATTCACTTAAACTCTGATTTACATGGAGTCTTTCAACCGCCTGAAAATATAAATTTACATATTTACCAAACTGCGAACCTCTTCAAATTTTTTGAGATACAAACTTTGGTGAATTTCACTTTCACAAAATTCTGTAGCATTGATAATTGATTGACGTCACAGCAACTTTCACAAAATGATGTCCCCATAACCCATAAATGCCATTAAAGTATCAGAGTTGGAGAATTCTTGGCAGTGAAAAATATATTGTTTACAGTATTTGTTATTTATTCCTCAATGCAGAATATAAAACAGTTTTCGTCATCACAATTCTGTCGGGTACAATTCTCCTAAACCCAGTATCATGTACTTGGAGATCAAGGCAAAATATAATGTACTCAAATTCATACCACTGAAGGAGCTCTAAGATTAATCTATCAACCCCAAACATCCCTGCTGCAACACCCATATATAGTTACTGGATGCACTGCTCATTAAATATTTCAAATAAATAATCTTTTTCTTTTTAAATATTCTTGTACCTGAGAGCATCCACACTGCATTCTGATGCGCATTTTCTTCATAATCTATGAACTCATATCACTGCATTGCTTCATTGCAACTACTTTGTAAGGCACTCATTGATTTAGTTATTGAGAGGGAAAATAATCATACATAATATGAGATGTACTGTAGAATACTTTATTTTCACTTGGAATTTATTTTCGCTATTTTCACTGAAGGGATGATTCCGGAAAATAAAATCCAGCGAATATACTTTTTTTCCCATATTTCACATTCAACTCATCAAAAATCAGTGAAAATAAATTGCATACAAAACGTGCAAAAAGCCTTTTCAGCGAAAATTAATTCCAGCTAAAATAAAGTATTTCACAGTATATATATTAGGGAAGGAAAACCAGAGCTTAAATTTAAACCAATGCCAAGTAAATAAACAAGAAATGAGACTACTAGAGCTACTACAATACTGGGCTAGGGATGTGATCAACAAGCTTTATGCTATGATGACCCACCCATTCAAGATTTTAATAAATTCTTTGTTAGTTTGATTGTTGACACATACCTCCAGTAAATATGCCTGTTCTTCTTTGTACAGTCTGACCCATGTGTTGATCAGACTTGTCATCTGACTCCATGATTTGCACCGTTCTGTGTGACTATCGCCACGTAGCCTAGCATACAGGAAATAAGCATTATCATTCAACTTCAATACATAGTTATTTTTCAATAAAAATAGTGTATTTTAAGGGCAGTAGTCATCGTGCTGCGCATGAGCGACATTCGTGTTGATAAACATTGATTTTTCCACAATTCAATGTGCTCTTCTAAGGAAAATCACAAGTATGAGGTTTTACCTGGGCGCGACTAGCACTAATTACCGCTCGTGAATCCTTCAAAACACCTAATAAAATACCTAATTGAAGCTTGGTAACGTCTCAGTTTGTACTCGTTGATCTGCGCAACAGTCAAAGTCGCCATCTTTGTTTATATGAGACCCATATATCTCGCACATGCGTGGCGCAGCGACTAGCGTCCTTTAACTTTAAAGCAAATTTATTCCCTTTAACCATAGACAGTATAGTAGTACTACCGGTATACTGTCTATGTTTTAACAGTGCATGACAATGTATAGTGTTTTAATTCATATAAAAAATGTAAGGCGTCCTTCTGTTATCCTAGTCAGGCTTTGCGACTCAGTGACTAACTGATACCATGGAGTTACCTCCATGCTGATACTATAGCAAAATATACTTTGTCATATTTCAAAAGAATAAACCAACATGAATGTTATCATATTTTTTATTTGACAATGCACATCCCTGTCTGTATTCAACCTTTTCACCACCAGACTTCCTCACCCGAATTATTCTGGACTTTTTTGTTTATATTCTTCATATATTTTTGGAAATAAACCCTAATTTTCCCAACCAACAGACAAAAAGTGTCAATTCTCAGTTTTCATTCAAAAAATTTGTCTATTTTTGTCTAAATTTTCTGGAGGAAAGTGCAGACTATAAATAGGACTATTTTGTGAATTTAGAATTAAAAGAGGGAACTGGTGGTGAGAAGGAGTGTGTCGGTGTACTTTAAAACTAACAGATCAAACCTACTGAAATGCATGGCATTCCTTGACTGTTTTTCAAAAAATTCAAATAAATATTATGCAAATGACAGCACATAATGAGTAATTAAGTCATACTTCTCCGCAACAGGGCCATACAACAGCTCTATAAGCCGGTGTAAAATTTGCAATTTGCGAAATAAAAATTCCTCTTCTTCTTCCCCATCACCATTGATGGCAATATACAGATGCTCACCAAGCTGAAATAAAACATCAAAGATATATTGTTTTTGTATTACTGTACACAACGTAATATTCACTGGGTTTTATTTTTATTTTTAATTAAAACCTAGTGAATATCCCTGCACTATCAAAATTGCTAAAATTAAACCTAGTGAATATTTCTACTTTTACAGTACATACTTACCGGTATATGATTATATCTATGTATTTTTGTGTTTGTTTTTTGGTTCTATTAGCCTATCCTGTTCTACGATCAAAGTGAATGTATTATGTAGAAATTATTTTGTTCATGAAGAGACCCAAATCAAATAACATTTATTTAAGGGAAGGTCAGAAAGAGCAACTAATCTGTTGCTGCAAAGAAAATTGATACTAGTGCAGATACTAATCTTACCTCTTTTAGTACAAATATGAATCCATCTTCACATGAGATCGAAGAGTATGGATTATTGAGTTCATTTGATAGCATTCCTTGAGATGCAACTATCGGAGATACAAACTGAGTCACTGCATTCAAATCTACTTCATCATCTGAGATGTCTTCCTCCTATAGAATATCAACACATACAAGGTATCAAGAATACTTTCTCCATTCATCCATCTCTTCCATTCACCCACCCACAACCAACATAACTCCCAACACCATCTACCAAAACACCACCCCAAAACCACAAACACACACACCCACCCACTCATTCATCCATCCATGCATAAATGCACACACAAACCCATTCCTGCATAAACCCACCCATCCCTGCATAAACACACCCACCCATCCCTGCATAAATACACCCACCCATTCATACATAAACCCACACAGCCACCCATCCCTGCATAAACCCACACACCCATCCAACCCTGCATAAACACATGCACACACCCATCCATTCCTGCATAAACCCACACACCCATCCAACCCTGCATAAACCCACACACCCACCAATCCCTGCATAAACCCACACACCCACCCATCCCTGCATAAA